GACAATCCAATTATCATCGTTTATTTTTTGCATTATTATTTGACGTTGCCACATATTCTTCATAGTTCTCGCTAGCCTGTACAGTAGGCGCTTTGGAAAAAGGTATTGGATTCCATTTAATCTCGTTTGCTTGACCTAAAAGTTCTATTCTTTCAAATTTAACCTCATTGCTTGCGGAACTACATTCTGGCGTGTTATTTGGATTATCCTCATTGTTAGACGAAATATTCTCAGGAATATCATTACCCTCGTTTGTTTGTGTAGCAGAAGAATCATCAACGGTTGACGTATCTCCTGAAACTCCTGATATTTCCACAGTTCTTTTATTAAATGTATAAAAAAGAACATAGCATATATTCTAAATGTATATCGTGTGATGTGTTAATCGCTCCAGTCTCAATTAAATCTGCCCAAACATTAGCATCAGTACTATACATTCGATGTGATCGGCAATAGATATTTTCATTGTCAAATGTGATGAGAATCTTGTCGTCGCTCATCCGCATGCCAGGTAAATACTGTTGAATACTTTCCTCAATATCTGTATTAAAATTTTCCATACGATGATTCTGATTTTCATAACAAAATGATTGTGGACAATTTTGTAGTAATTCTGAATGCCGTTATGAAGCGAATTTTGGCCGTTGATGTCATGAATATTGTTGTTGCATTGATTCAAATTCTGATTTATATTATAAAAATTAAAACTGTTAGTAAAAGCCGAATGAATAATATGATTTGGATGTAGACGCAGATGCGGGTTATCTACATAGTGATTCTGATTACTATGAATAGACAAATATGACCTGGACATATTCTCTTCCCGAGGCACATTAAGCACATGTCCATCATGGATATACTGAAATGGATTTTCAAAACGTGGGCGAAAATTTTCGTTAGGCCTATGATAATGATGACCATGCGGATTTACGCTCTGTTGGATCAGATCTATGCCTCGCATATTATTATGTTGTGGATTTATTTCCTGCTGTTGTAAGTGTGGATAATAGAAGACATCCACATAGGAATGTGGATGTCTATGCACTCGGGGCAGATGCGAGACATACCGAGAGTCGTGTCGATTTCCATGCAGTTGGTAAATAGGTAGACAGCTATAAAAATTGTGAGCATGTCGGTTGTGAGCATGTTGGTTGTGAGCATGTTGGTTGTGAGCATGTTGGTTGTGAGCATGTTGGTTGTGAGCATGTCGATTGTGCATATAATGATGTTGATTTCTACGCTGACGCTGGTCGTCTGACTGATATTTGTCTTGGTTCATATTTGCCTTTTTGAATTGGCGCTCTGGATCTTGAATGTACTTCCAATATTATGTGGGAGTACCGCTGATGATACAACATGCAACCTGAAATAATTAGATTAAATAATAAATTTTCGATAGAACAAACGTTATAATATTACATAGATATTATATTATATTTACTATTATATTCGGGATTATACGGAATAACAAACTAAAGGACTATATTATTTAAAAATTATGAAGGTAAAATAAAACTGCTTTCGAAAACCTATTAAAGTAATTAGTTATGTTTAGAGTCGGTTCCAGCTAAAACAAGTCAAAACAAAAATATAACCTATATAAACATGAATATAAAAGTAAAATGTTGAAGAGATACAAGCGAACTAGTTTTATCTTAAGCTGAAACACACTCCAAATACAATTAATAATTAAATATGATTTTGATGGGAGTATTCATTTTTTTTTTTTTTCATAAAAGTTATTCTATACTAATAAAGTTTTTTTATTCTATAAAGTTATTTTTCGTTATCGAGTAATATGAGTTTTGTAATTCATTTAGCCACTTTACTGGTGGATTTATCCATAGTGAATATAAATGGCCAGGCATTTTGTACGGAGCTAATGGAAAAGCAGTTTCGATACCGAATTTATAGTCCAGTTGTAATAATTGCAGGATGTTTATTGTCTAGTTGGAGTGCAACTTACAAATTATTCTTGTTGAGACTATATGATTATTCTTATTACTTGTATTAAAAGAATGAAAATATATAGGTAGGTTAATAAGTAATTTAAATTGTGTGTATAGTAGGTTTTTCTAGTCGCCATTTAAGAGTAATTTCTATCGACTAATAGCAGTATTATCTCCTAATTTCAAGCCGGTGAGGAATGCTGTGGCTGCCATCATTACACCGGCAGCTTACAAAAGAGCTCAAGCACACTAGATATGCTAAAAATGTTTAAGAATGTCCTTCGATTTGGTTGACATCTCATCAGATCGTGTCTTAGTGACTATGGAACCACCCCGACAAATTATTATTGAAAATACATAAAAAAATATGTAAAGATGAACAAAGAATATCCTTCTTTTGAATTGGTTAAGAATTACTGGTTTATACGAAGCAGTAATTTGGTGAAACTAATTAATTTAGTTAGAAATGAATTTATTTAAAGAAAATATGTCTTCAACTCGGATTGAATTATTATTGTTAGACTATTATTGCTTTTGATTCTATTCCTGTTTTCCGTTATTGAATCGTGGTTTATTTTTCACCACTGGTTGCTCAAAAATTCAAACTACAGTAATTGAAATTTCTAGAAAAACTATTAAGCTTAATTTTCTTCAGAAAATATAAAGGTATTTCAAGAAATCCGCGTTGGTACTTTCATTATTATTCAAATAAACTCTGGGGCTACTAATAATTAGGGTAATCACCTAATTAGCGTAGTGTAATCCAAAACCGGGAAATTGCAAACATTGGTTGTAGCAAACTTCATTATAACACTACCCTACCATACCATACCGAAATCCGAAAAGCGACTTATAGTGGTGGACATATCCTTATGGACCGTATCTCATCGACTGAACTTTATTCGTATATTTGTAAGAGTGGCGTATTACGTGTTTGTGTATGTGAGTGCATATGTGCGTGTGCGAGAGTGCGTGTGTGTGTGTGTGAGTGTGTGTGTTGTTTTTGCGGGTGTATGTATTTATGAATATATGTATTCAAATTGGGAATTTTATTGAATTTATTTCAACGTAATCATTTTTGTGGCTTAAACCTATTTTTACATGAGTGCAATCTTCTCAAATATTTGCCTTTTAAAGATAAATAATATGATAAAGCATATTATTAACTATTAATTTAAGTATTGTTACGACATAACCCTATCGGGGTTCGAGGATTGAGGTAGGATGAAAAGTAAACACTCAAAAAACAGAAGATTTTTTTGAAATAATGCTGGAATACAAAAATGTTTGACTTAAAGTACAGTTTATGTCATTTAGGCGTCAGCTTTATTAATATCAGATGGTAAAGGTTCCTATATTTTTGGGCAGGGACCATGTCAGACATTATGCAGACAAAGTGTCCTCAGCGCAATACTGAATGCTACAATGACCTGATACTAATAGCAAAAACTCGTATTTATATTTTTCCATAGCTAATTTATGGCTTTTATTTTAAATACAATTTAATATTCACATGAATAGAAGTCCAAAACTCTTTACTGTGCTGTAAGATTTGGAAATACTTACATATTTGGAAATATAAACATAATTGTTACAATTTTCAGTTTTTTGTCGATGAAATATCGATATGACAATGGCGGTATATCGACTTTTTAAATCCCTAGCAGCTGTGTCTGTACACTATATCCCGTTAAAATTGAAAGCTATAATCAAATTATTTGAGTGATTACTGTAATATTTCATGAAATTAAAAAAACATTGAAAGTACGATCATTTTCGTGTTTGTCTATAAAAAACAGTAATTATTAATATCATGTCTCCTTGTAAACGCACCATCCACCACATAATTCAATATTATGTTTTAACTCGTCTTTCTTTAACACAACGCACTATTTTTAAATAACAATCGTGAATAGCGCGGGCCGCCAACGCCCGCCACCGCACAAGTGAGGTGGCACCCTGTTAGAATGAATGCTTTCTCTGTTGCACTCGTGCAGTGCTCATATACGCTGTGTCATGTGCTCTGAACAATATAACGCCATCAACTGGTCTGGCCTCACTAGAAGCGTAAGCGATCGCTTGCTGACCGCTTAATGAAGTTGCAATCGTTTTAGTTCTATTTTCAAACTCGAGTGATGCCGATGCCAACTTCACTTTCGTCTGAAACCGTTTTGTTTCAGTCCTCGCCGCGCAACACACTGTTATTGCTCGTGTATAATAAAAGAACTATCCGTCAGGAACGACATATGAAGAATATCGGTCCGTAAAAGCCGATGAGGTTTCGAAGTATTCATTACGTCCGTAGTTTTCGGAACGTAAGGAACGAACATAAGGAACAGTGCCGAGGTCAAAAATCAGAGCGGGGCTTCTTAATCCTAATCTACTTAGTCCGAGACCGGGTTATGAATTAAAAGCGATATTGCGATCAACGTCAAAAGTGAGACAAATCGGTATCGAAATCAGGATTGGGATTGAGATAGTAAACGGTCGATACATTAGATAAAGGAATGTGTTCAAAGTCCACGCGGGCGAAGCCGTGGGCAGAAGCTAGTATATACATATACCTGTAGTACATTAGTACATTATTTAGAAAGTTGATTTATTTCACCTTGATTAATAATTATATCAACGCTGTTGTTATTATTAATCACTATGTCAAGAGATTTGTGGCAACTAAAAGGCGTTATTTGAAAGTCGGTATATAAGTGATTTACGAACCGTTAAAACATCTCATCAGTAGTTTTACCATACCTATAGTCCCCAGTGTTCTATTAGAAGCAAAATTCAAATTAAGCTCTGATTTTAAAAAAAATACCAATTCCAATCCTTTTTTCATTTCCCATAATAAATAGAATCTAATATTGAAGTTGGTTACCACCTACTAATTTTATAATGACACTTATGAAATAATGATTATAATTGCCGCTTTTTTACATCTTTAAAATTAAAAAACGCTTGCTTTCAGCATTATAAGATATGCGTTTATTTACATCTATTTCGTAATTATCATATTAATCAATTGAAATTTTATTATTAAGATTATTAAAAAATTTGCAACGTTGGGATTTGAACCCCCGCCTCCTAAGAGACTGATGCGTTAAAACAACGCCTTAGACCGCTCGGCGACGCTACGATTGCACACAGTGTTAAAAAATCGACTCTTAAGGAGTAAACTCTAATAACAGGTTCGAGTAACGCTCGCGTTGAACTTCACCCGTCTTAAAATTTCCATACCGGGAGCCTTGTATAAACTATATTCTTAAGGGGGTAAACTTTTAAAACTATCGAACCTACAAGTGGTTCAGATGATTGTTTTATTGTGTTAAAAATACCGGCTTGGTTTATCCTGGCCAGCTAAGAGACAGCCTCGACGGAATCAATTGTCAGCAGTCACTGGGTGGTCATGGCTGGTCATTGAGTGCTTTTATGACCAGTTAGCCCCGTGCCGCATGTCACTTTAGCGACACAGCGGTGATGGTGATTATAATTTGATTTGTACAAGATTTTTGTTTTACTAAAAACATAGAAGTTGCCGAAGCTTATGAAAAATTTTTACTGACATTCCATTTTCTACCACCAAATCTTTCAATTCATCTCCCGCTCTTGCTGAATTCTTATTGAGGAAAAATTTTCCGCCTATTGATGTTAATTTAGAATTTGAGTATATGAATTCGATAGACATTATTAAGGCATTTAAGTCGTTGAAAATGAAAAACACTACTGATCTCCATGTTCTGTCAGTTAAAATTGTAAACTCCATTATTGATTGTATTGCAGCGCACTTGGTGCTTGTTTTTAATAAGTATTGAATGATGACATGTTTCCTGATCTGATGAAAGAAATCAAAGTTTCAAAGGAACTTCGTATTACAGTTTTGGTGTCATCCTGATAAAAATTGACTCTCATCGTTTTTTTATAAAGCGGCAAAAGAAGCATAACTTCAAAAAATGTATAGAGGGACTGACTTGGGCTGGACCTATTTCCTAGATGGAGCGCCTACTCTCTTCTTCTACACAAGCGCTAGTTTAATATTCATTATCGATGAATAAATGGTATAATCATCGCTTTAGACTAATATCTTAAATATAAATTTATAGGACGGTTGCAGTGAGACAGAGGAATCAGTAATGCGGCGCGTGCGCTGTAGCTCTTTCGTCATCGCATTATTCTATTGTCAGCAATCTTTGTTTTATTTCTTAGCTCTCACTAATGTTTCACATATTTAATTAGGAAGTCTTGGCCTGTTCACACGTCCAGTTCGTATTGGCCATTCGACTTGAGCATGCTTCTACGCAAATAAATATTCTACGGAGTGAACACTATTTTATTAACCCCAAGAATATTAATTACTTTAATACTCGTTGAGGACGAGAACAATAAAATAGTATACTACAACAAAAAAAACCTGGATACTCGTTTTTAATTTTCCTATCGGTGTCCTACAAGTTTCAAGCATTTCCATTTCTTCAGTTATCCATAAGCTAAGTTGTATATGTAGTACAAATCTGTAATTAATGTGAAAAAATTAACTTTACATTGTTGAGAATTAGAGACTGGTGTAACTGCTTGCTATTACACTGTTATGTTATTACTTAAATATTACACAAAGTATTGAATCCGTCCCTACAATGATATTGATCAACCGACTTATTTTAAATACGTCGACCGTTTACACTTAAGCTAATTCGAAATATTCCTTTCGAAATTGTAAGAACTAATGTGTATGTAAGAATTAAATAAAAGTAATGCAACACATTGTTTGATAAGATTACAAATACAAAATATTATACATACCAAAACAGATTAGCTATATTCTATTTATACACTTATTTGCTATGTAGCAACCTAGCCTATTGCTAAACAATCTATTGGCCAAGGGTTTACTTCAATGAGTCAGTCTTTACATGTCGATATCCATATCGAAGCCGTTCACACCTTTGCGCGTTCACACTGAAAGTAGTTATAAAAGAAAATACCTACTGAATTATTTTTGTGTATTGTTGGTGCATTGATTAGCCATGTTATTGTATATTTTGAATGAACCAAAAGGGCTTTCTGCGTTTTTTCAATTATTTGCAATTATTTTTATTTTATCCCGTTCAATAGTTCATTATTTATTAAATACCTTGCATCACTTTACTGTGAAGGTTATGTCATGTTTCTGGGTTATGAAGACAAATTAGACAAATCATGCTTTAAGTGTTTTATTGAATAATCATACAAAAGTACACAAATACAAAAATACACATTATTGATGATATTTAGTAGTTAATCGCTCTAAAAGTTATACTTCTTTAGGCGCGTTATGAAAAAATGATGAGAGTGAAATTTTAAGATGCGCGCGCATCAGTGTAACCCAAAATTAACAGTTTGAAGCTGGCTGCTAAACCACTCATCAAGCCAACAGAAATGAAAACTCCATTAGTCGCGCATGATGGCACGCTCGTCGCCTGTGATCACTGTATTCATATTTATAATACTGTCCACATGTTTCTAGTTTCTACATTCACAACACGTGTTTTAATTTCGTACAAGTGCGAATTATATATGTGCAAATATATTATAATCAGTAGTGATTTAAATCGAAGATTTTGATTAACATTATTTACTATTCGTAAATATTAGTGAAAAAATTGTGCTTATATACTTTTTAGTGTCTGATATAATTGAGGTTAACTATCCGTATGTATTATTTATTGATATAAATTACAATATTAATGTTTAATATAATTAATACTAAATAGTATTAAATTATTATTATTAAATATTTATTATTTTTTATTTAAAATTTACAAAATAAAGAAATAAATTTAATAAAACATTTTATAAAAAAATTGTGATAAAAATTAAAATCGAACATCAAATTAAAATATTAATTATTAATATTTATTATTAAATTAAATAAATAATAAACATTTACAAAAAAACAACATAAAATTTAAAAAAAATCCACTACCATACATATCTCGTATGTTGCAATCTGACAAGAACTTAGGCTCAGTGAAGGAATCGACAAAAATATATTTATGAGCAGTATTTGTATTTAAAATTCATTTCTTACTTTACTTCACACCATAAAATTGCTTTCACAATATTTGATATTAAAAAAATATGGCCCACTTTAAGTCACAATGAACTCGAAAAATATGTACCGAAGTATGCGTTATATATAAAAAAATATGTGTTAAATAGAGAACATGTTTTTAAAGTATGCGTCACATTGTAAAGTTCTCTAACTTTGCATTACGTTTAAGATCGTTCATATATGTTGAAATGTAAGAATACATACAAAAATTCTAGGTCGGTTAGACTCGTTACTGTGTAGGCTATCAGTTAAACCCAAAACAAAAAATTGTTCCCAAAGCATACATTTGACATATTTACATATGGTTTGATGATTGTTTTACTATAAAAAGGTGTAAATGCTAGGCTATAAATGATTTCAACAAAGGGTCTGTGCATTTGATTGTTCGGACTAATATATGAAATTGTACATATGAAAGTTCAAAAGAAAAAACTTTGTCATAAATATTTACGCCATGACGCACCTAATCTATAATTGACCGCCTTAAATTTTTATTCTTACTGTCTGTCGATAAAGGCCGAATAAATTGAAATTTTGCATAGGGACAGGGTATTTTCAAATTACGCGTATTCATAAAACCAGCACTAATACCCGACTTTGTCTGCATATTTATTCTATTGAACCACTGCACTTATTGTAAAAATCTTTCACTAATTATAATCTTCTTAAGAAAAATATATATTATTAACATTGCAGATCAATTTGTACAAATTATTTCAATCCTATTTTTCCTATTTTTATGTATTATATAAGAGATGAAAAAAGACGTGCTTGATTCGTGAACAGAATTTAATTCAAACTAAAATTATTGTAAAAGTCATTCTCTAAGTATAATCTCTCTAAGAAAAATAGATTATTAACATTTGAGATCATCTTCTACAAATTATTCCAATTGTATTTTTTATGTATTATACATTAAATGACTGTGGATCATATCTTTGAGGAGACACTAATTTTTCGTAAATAGGAAGAATGATTGTATTATGTGGTTACATTTTTCTTAAACTAAAACATTAGCACACTTATTTCTAGATATTGTTCATAATCATATTTATTTAATAGAAATTAACAATGAGATTGGTCTAATTGCAAGTATTTCTATAAAATACTTCTTGCAGAAATATAATAAATTCTTGGCAGCTGTTATTTAAAATTTATTACCACTGTCGGTTCGCCGTTTTGTTTGTTTAAATTGACGATTATTATGTTTTGGAGGTTTCCTTTATACAGAGGTACTCATTTCGGAATGGGTATTGCATGTTTATCTTTTGGAAGGTCATAATTTTTAATACAGTATTAAATCTTTGAAATATTTGTACTTTAGGCAGTTCCCAAAGTAGAAGTAAGTCTTCTTGGTGGTTGCTATTCTGGTTATGTCCATGTTCATCAGCACCATTTTGATTTTTATGTTTTTCATTGTCGTGGTTTGATTGGTGTGTTAGGACATTAACTCCTGGCCATGGCTCATTTGGAACAAATGGCGGTGGTAATTCATCATCGCACATAGCGAGTGTTATTAACTCATTTTCTAATAACAATATAGGGTCTGAGGAGTACCGTTCAGAGGTAGAATTGGGCAAAGTTAGTGAATTATTATAGTTAATATTCGTAAGAGAAGTCCATCTCTCCCTAATTGCTTGTTCACAAGCAAGAGAACCAGAAGTACCAGCATTTGTTTCTCCAGGAGTTATAGATTTAGATACGAAATTATTCTGATTTGTAGGCGCAGCTTGGGAAATACAGTCGCTACTATTTCTTAGAGGTGACATAGGTTTGACAATCCAATTATCATCGTTTATTTTTGCATTATTATTTGACGTTGCCACATATTCTTCATAGTTCTCGCTAGCCTGTACAGTAGGCGCTTTGGAAAAAGGTATTGGATTCCATTTAATCTCGTTTGCTTGACCTAAAAGTTCTATTCTTTCAAATTTAACCTCATTGCTTGCGGAACTACATTCTGGCGTGTTATTTGGATTATCCTCATTGTTAGACGAAATATTCTCAGGAATATCATTACCCTCGTTTGTTTGTGTAGCAGAAGAATC